TCCCACCTGAAGTGCGGTGCCCAGAACTGGATGCAGTACTCCAGCTGCGGCCTGACCAGTGTCGCAAAGAGGGGGAGGATCACATCCTTGGACCTGCTTGAGATGCATCTGTGGATGCATGACAAGGTATGGCTGGCCTTCCTGACCACGTCCCCACTTTGTTGGCCCATGTTCACTGTGGCAGCAATGATGACTCCAAGATCCTTTTCTGTCTCAACACTGGCAAGAAGGGAGTTCCCCAGCCTGTAGGTGTGCCACTGGTTCTTCTTCCCCAGGTGCATTACCCTGCATGCATCTGAGTTACTGCAAGCTATGTATCTAGTTAGATCTCAAGTAGCTTACTCACAAGTATCATCCAAAGCAGGTGGAGATTCCTTCTGGAGGCAAGCAGTTCATTGACCATGAGTTTAAAAAGAGAGCAAGTTTCAGATGGTCCAGCTTCTTTGAGAGTCCTCAGCATGGCTGCTGCCCTGCCTCCTGGGCAGTCCTTAACTTATAAAGAACTTATGACCTCATTTACCTGATCCAATGAAGGCCAGTAACTGTTGGCTGCCAGCCAACCAATCTGAAATGCATCACTGGTTGCTGGGTAGACTGGCAGGGGGTCTAGTCCCCTCCCAGTCATGATTAGAACAATAGGGAGCTTAAGCCCCCACCCAGGTGTGTGAGGCCAGTCACAGGCAGAAGGAGCAGGTTCCCACCTCCCTCAGGAATCTATCCAGCTCAGGTTACAACTCAGGGTTACCTGAAGCTGATGGGGCCAGGGGTGTCTACCCTCTGCAGTGGCCATGGTAACCAAATTGTCAGATTGGTCCCCTACCTGACAGCAGAGTTTGGAGAGAAACAGAGATGGCATTCTGAGACAGTTTCCATCAGTAACTTTGGGCACTCCCATAGTAATACTGTGGGAACTCCTCAACCAGCTGACAGAAGATATTGCATCCTTTTGAAATCCAGTGTCGTACACTGAATTTTGATCATGAATGTTCTGCCCAATTATATACTGATAGCAGATAGTGAAATCTTTAAAATTAGTTACGACTTTAAGGTCAAAATATTTTTAAAAGTAGCATCTAATTTTCTATTTATTATGATTGTAGACAAAAATGATAACAGATGTAAAAAGTTTAACATCCAACCACCATAATTGCAGGAATAAAATTAGAGGGCCAGCTTGAAGCTTCTCTGATATTTGTTTCTAAAACTGAAGAAGGGGAATTACATACATTTTTCAGTATATTTTGAAATAATGACCAGAAAAGATCATACACATAGAAGTAATTCCTTTGTCACATAATTATAACATGCAACAGCTTGAGAGGTTTTAAAGTTGTTCAAACAGCCATTTGCTTCTTTCTCACCACCATTTTGGAGCATGCAGAGTACAGTAACATTTCTAAAAGCAAGCACTCCTCTCTAGCCAGAAACAGCCAGGCTCCAAAGACTTCTCACATAAAAAATTAATGCCATTAGATCTGCAAAACTAAATCAAGAGTGTTAAGGGATCTTCCTCTGGGATTGCATCTTCCCAGGTAGATAGGCACAACTCTTCCATTTAGAAAACCCCAGAGCACTGTACTGATCTAATGGCCTTAGATTAATATGGAGAACATTTTTTTGAATATCAAACCAAGACCATATCTGAAAGTTACCTCACATTTAAAGAGGTGGTTATCTAGAAGTGGATGTCTTAGGTTTTTCTTTGGTTTTAATTTTTCTTTCTGCAGCAAGTTAGTTTTTGCTAATACCAATATTCTTTTATATAATTTTCAGTCTTTTCACAGGCACTCCTGCTTGGCTGCTGCTGGTCACTGTCCAGGCTGAGCCCAGCTCTACACAGGCTGGCTGGAGCAGCTCTGGAGCGCCTCTAACAACTGGAAGAGCAGGAGGAGGAAGGGAGGGAAGGGGATGGGATGTGCCTCTGAGCTGGGGGTTCTTACCACTGTGAGGGCCTAAAAAGGTCCCCGACTGCTGCTTCCATGGTGCAGTCTGCTCACCTTCATAGGGGGGCTGAGGGAAGGATGCTGGAAGTGGGGAGTACAGCCACTCCAGCAGCACGGATTGCTGCCCCAGCACCTCTCTTAAAATCCTGGATCCACTTCTGAAAAAAGATAACAGAAAAAACTCACTGCACTTGGTCAAAAATGCATTAATTCATCTAGATCAGCTGACTTGTTTTCTATTTTTAATAGAATGTGATTTTTTTGTCCCTGAAACACATAACTGATAAAAATTTACAAACTCAATGAACTAGTTTTGGTCAGTCATGAACCAAGACATTCTTACATATTCACAATATTTGTATTCACATGGATTCTTATGTATGATCTATATTTTAAGAAGGCTTGAGCGTATCACTTGCTTCAAAAGCTGTTGCCACTGAGTACAGCACCTCAGAGCTGGGTCTGTATTCATCTTTCACAACAGCAGGGAATTGCAAAGGTAATTGAAATTCATTTATTCTTAACAGCAGGAAATCTCAAAGTAATTGATTGCTGAACTCTTTGGTAATTGCGGTTTCAGGCATTTATTACAGCAATGTTTATGCTACTTCTGAGTGCTCTAATAACCTGGAATAGTCTGTTTACTCATAATGAAATAGTGCTGTAAATTGTGAATCCACTCTATACATACAATTCAGAATTCTGATTTAGTTACTAATGCATTATTAGTACCACCCATCCTTGCAAATCCTTTTTGCAGTCACAGGTTGTACAAATAGGTAAGAGCACAGAAGCAATATTTTTCTTTACAGCTTAATGAGTATGAAGCTTTCAAGGATTCCTTACATGTGTCTTCAGACAAGCTGCTAATACAGTGCACAAATCAGTGTCAAAGGGCTTGGGTGGTGCGTATTATACAGAACTGCAGAATCAAAATGGATATATAAAAGAGGCCAAGACGGATGTTTTATTTTTGCTGTGGCAGCGAGGGATAAGATGTCACAGAGATAAACCCAGTGCCATAAGTATTGGAGATTAGATTTACGGACTAAAGGAGCTCAAAGTTCTATGTGCTATGAGCAGGACTGAGTCAGACCAGAAGCCTGGGAAAACACATGTGATCCATGCTCTATCTGTACCTTAGCTCAAATTACATCTGCTTCTTTTCCAGACCCAAGTAAGGGTACCTTGAGCCTGAAAGCTTGCCTAAAACCTCTCCTAACTATGCAGTTGGTCCAATAAAATATATCATCCCCCAAAATCCATGCCTCTCATATTTCCTGGACTACCATGTCTACAACACCACTCCAACATAACCACATATAACATTTTTTTTTTTTTTTTTTTTGCAGGAAACAAAAGAAGACTGACTTTAAACAGACATCTGTGGAGCACAGTAGCAGCTGTCAGAAACGTGACATCCCCTTCTCAGCATCCAGAGTGGCATCTTAGATGGGCAGATACTACCTCCCCACTGGATTCTTCACTGAGAAATAAAATCAGATCTATAGACTGTCAGGAGACTTTTAGGTTTTAATTTACAATAGAGCTTGTGCTTACAATGGTTGGAAGAGTACATGTTTACAGTATCTGAGCTAGGAGGAAAGAGGATCTAAAATTTGCTACATGGGAGAAGGTCTATCTTTATTTTTATATTACTTCAAGTTATTTTTATTTTCATGAAGGAGTGGCCAGTAGCACAGGATTGTGTATATTTCCATACACAGGTCTGCATGTAAATCTCAACCCTGACTAGCACCACTCCTACTACTATTTCAGAGGTCTCAGATCTTACTGAATTTTCCAGTGATTTGATAATTCTAAGCATCATAAAATTCACCTTCAACTACACTTCTGTGTTAAGCTGGCCCTTGTAAGTATTCTATTATAAACTCTCTCAGCTGTCATAGGAGTTTGGCTGCAATGGTAAGGAATCAAGATATTAAAAGTATGGACCAGTATTGCAGAAAGAACAATTATTAGAAATTGTTCCAATTCTCTCCTGCATTACTAGACCACTACCTGTGAGGTGGCTTCTGCTGTGATAGCTGATTCCACTTTTTCTTCTTGTATTGGATGGCTGTCATCAGGTACTTCTGGTCGTATGTTGTTTGCTGCACAGCAGCCAGGTATGTTTCCAGATTAATATCTTTTAGTTTAGTAGCATAATTTTGTATTGTCCTGTTTAAGTTGATCCTTTTTGGAGTACGTTAGGTGAAGAGAATAGGTTCTCCGTTTCTGTGAGGTTTTCCTGCAGAGTTGTGTCACGTATATGGAATTGTGCGTGCTAGCTAGAGGGTTGCAAATGAGTCCCCTTGGGATGATGCTTTTTTTGTAGAAGCTCAGGAAGAAGGTACCACTGTGTAGTCTGGCTTTTTTTTTTTTTTTTAAGGTTACACACACTCCATTTTAAGTGGCAGCTTTCAATATCTTCCATATTTAGCATCAGAGTGACTTTGTAGCCATGGTGGTCTAGGAAATATGCAAGAAGCAAGGATTTTGTGGGTGATCTTTTACTGGTCCAACTGCATGGTTGAGACAGACAAGCTTTCAGATGTGAAATATTCTTGATCAGGTCTGAGAGAAGCAGCAGGCACAGTAAAGATTTAAAAGTGTGCTGGGCTGTGAAATTGGAAAAGACATAAAACCCCAGGAGTACAAAGACAAGCAATTACCAAGAAAAGACAGCTTGATTAGTGGAAGATCGAGACCTTTGAAAAGGGAAGAGGGTCATTATCACCTGCAGTGGAAAAAAATGTTCAGGGATTACGTAGATTATAGCATGTCATAAAGTCAATTATCAGTGTTCAGTCCTTGGTTCTTAGTGTTCAGACAGCTTAAGAATTCTTGTTCTAGGGCTCGCCTTTTGAAGGTGTTCTGTAAATTTCCCTTGAGCATGAGGACAGTGAGGTCAGAAAAGGAGTGGCTGTTCTGTGAAAAATGCATTCCTACTAGTGTTTGTGTGTCTCTCTCCTTTATATTCTTTCTGTGAGAATTTGTTCTGGTGTGCAGTTTATCTACTTTCATCCACATAGTAGTTACCACGAGAGCATTTGGTGCAGTGGATCCAATACACCACACTTTGGGAAAGGCATGTGTAGGATTCATGGATTCTGATGAGTTTATTGTGGGCAGTGTCTATTTGTTATAGCAGCAGAGATAGATACAGGTTTTGCAGCTTCTGGTAAGGCAAGGTTGCAACCTGTTTTATGTCTGTTAAACAGTGGGGAGTTTGCTTCAGATAAGCTGCTTCAGAAAGTTAGGGGGTTGTTTGAAAGCCAGGATCAGAGAAAAATGCATGGGATATGTACCTCTTCAGAGAAGAGATGCTTTAGAGTGTATATTAGTAATATGAAAAGTTGCCTTGCAGGAAGAGGTCTTAAACCTTGGTGACTTCACATCTGCAATGTCCAGAGAGGTCTGGTACAAGAGCCCCTTCCAGACTTGAGACCTATGCTATATCCTAGTTTATTCTTAACTATTTTGCCAAAAGTAGCTACACTAGCTATAACTAGGAACTAACAAAAAAGTTGCAGTTAGCAGAGATAAGGATGTTGTAGATGTTTCATCTTGTAGCCAAAGGCAGTAGAAAAGAAATGGAAAGCAGAAATAGCTTTCCCCATCCTTTACATCTTCATCTGTCAGTTACTACAGGACAGGCAGGGTGCATATGTGGACCTGCTATTCAAAAATATTCTGGTCTCACATGTGTAGCATTCATATGCATCAGAAATAGAATGCACAAAAAACAATCCTTAAACCCCAGTCCTTATAGTAACTGTCACAACCCAAGGGTGTGATTTTGTGTGTGCACGCTTCGGCACTACTAAATTATTTCCCGCCACTCAGAGCTTTCTTTGCAAGGTGCATTTCTCAGTTGCAAAGAGAAAACCCCGGTGCAAAGAAGTTCCCGCTACCCACATGCAAATTTGTGTCCCACTATTGGCCAGTTCTAAATTATTCCCACGTGGCTACCTTAAGAAGGCTATAGGGGTCTGATCAACCTCTGGCCTCTCCCCGTCACCGAGCGATCCCTCTACGAACCCCTTCCCTGCGCGCAAGTTCCACGGAGCCTAGCAAACTTCGTGTGAGTGTATCCAGAGCTCTTCTCTGAGTTGTTTTCTTCGGTTGACACGACGGGCTCGTGTTTTTAGAGCCTTCAGCCGGATTGGGCTAGAGTTCACGAGTTTAGAACTCTTGTCTGCTTTTCTTCTTTCCTGTCTGTAACTGCAACTCAAGCAAGTTTTCCTGCCTGCACCGCGACCATCTACGGTGTAAGTAAAATAATCTTTAATCAACCGCTACGCGTCCGTGCCTAATTCTAGTCCGCCGGCCTGCATTCCCCGACCCGCATGCCTGGGCTGCTGGCTACAGCCCACCGTGCGCCCCCGAGGGCCTCAGACCGCTCCTGGCCCGCACAGTAACTTCTTAAAGCAAGCTCTTGTTCTTAAACGACAAGAAAATCATCACTCAAAGAAAGGAGAAAGTGCGAACAACACATCATTCCTGTTAAAATTACGTAGTCGGTGATAAGAAAAGGACATAAAGTTCCTTTTCGAAATGCTTATCGTTCAAGGCCCAACTAAAATCTGTGGGTTGGAACAGTTGTTACAATGATAGAATGTTGTCACTGATCAAAAGTAACGGACTCCCGTGTTGCCCCCTGCAGTGTGCGAGCAGCTGAAGGAGCTCACCAAACAGTACGAGAAGTTGGAGAACGACCTCAAGGCCCTGCAGAGCGTCGGGCAGGTGCGGCAGACAGGCTGCCCCAGGGCTTTCTTGGACGGGTCTTTTCTTGGGCTGCCTGTGCTGGGGGTGACGTCAGGATCAATAGCAATATTGCCCTATTGCACTATCAATGCACTATTACCAAGCAGTAAATACCAACCCTAGCAAATATTAACTTTTTATTACCAGTTATTAATAGCAATGTTATATAAACAGTAACTGTCTCTACTAATTTATTACTACTAAAAAATTACTCTGTATAATCATGCTGAGCATACTTCTAAATTTCAAAATCTGCAGCCAACTTCTGTTCAGACTGGATTATACTCATCTTAGAGCTTCTGCTTTAGAAGGTCCTTGGAATATGAGCTCCTTGATCACATCTGTTCATGAGGATGAGACAGAAGTACTCTTTCTACAACAGCTAGGGAATTTCACATTAGACATTACTACACCATTGCCATCTTGCTCATGGACAGCATGTTACCAGAATCCTCTCTCTTCCATTATTTGGGTGCTTCAGCCTTAATTGACAAAGACAAGAACTACTCGTCAAATTGCAATTAATTTAATGAGCTCAGAGCATCTTAAAAAAATGAACGGCCAAGAACAACCCTGGAAGGCAGGTTAATATTATAGCTGTTTTATATATGAGGAAACAGAACCGTTAAACTCGATCAGCAAGTCAGTGGTTAAGGTAGATGGCCACTGATCAGCAACAGACCATAGACACTGAACATACATCCAGGATGACTCAAGCTGTCTGTCTCGATCCAAACCTGAAACAATGTATACTAGATGTCTTCCACAGTTAAGTTTTAATATTTTATTGTGTGGCACCAAAAGAGAAATAAGACTGAGGCCAGGTCTGGGACTGGAGCTGCCACTGCTGTTGCTGGGCCGGGGCCAGCACTGCTGTCTCGCCAGCACCAGGGCCTTCAGGTACTTCATGGTCTGAGCTAGAGCCAGACTTACTGCATCGTGGACGCTGTGGTGGACACTGTGGGGAGGAGAGGTGAGTGGCAGGGGAGGCAGGTGGGGAGGGGTCAGAGGACAAGGGGCACAGGTCAGGCTGCCTGCCTGTCCATATGCCACTGCTTTCCCTGCTGCAGTAGTGGTGGGGACAAATTTAAGATAACCTCCAATTGTGAGATTGTACAGGACAAATTTATAATTTTCCATGTATAGAATCTCATGATCAGGAGGTCTCCTTAAATTTGAAGTCATCTTGAATATTGAGTTGTCCAGATAATAGCGTGCAGAAACTCCTCTTACTAAGCAATTCTTAAATATATTTTTAAACCTAAGGAGATTTCTAGGTGTCTTCATAAGTATAGCGTTAAGGTTGAGAGACCATTTCCCCAAAGAACTCTAGAATGATTTGTAGCCAATTTAGTTTGTAGGTGTTAGAAAGTCAGGATGTTCCAAGTTAAAAATGTCTTGAAAAGGTACCTTTTAATTTCATGTTAATGGATGAAGGCAACTGAAATCATGGTTTTCTTTGTCTTTTTCATGTTGGAAACGACTATTGACTATTATACTTTTTCTGAAATACCCTCTAGATCAGGGTCAAATTCATACTCCCTTATCTTTTAAAGATAAAATAAACGTTTGCTATGGGATGTTAGCATCTGGAAATGCTTTTCAGGTTACTAAACTGATGGTCATAATAATAAAAATGCTCATTTCCAAGGTACTTTTCCTTTATATTTGTTTATGAATTAGAAAGACCTTAACACATTTACAACCATAACAAATTCTTAATTTCATGGGGTCTCAGGTCACTCTCACTGCATAATAAGACACTCCGATGCTGGCCAAACATTAATAGAAACAGTTTATTCATATAAATGGATAAATCCAAAAACATTTTTACAGATAAACTAAATGGGCTGTTGGTTTACCTTGGATTCGTATCTCAAAGCTTCTTGGCTACAAATGTGTTTAATAATTACCTTTTATAACCTCTGTACTTAAGCTTCTTCCTCTTTGAATAATCAGGATTGAAACAGACATTCCCAGCTGACTAACTTTTGATAAATCTAACTGGAGAGGTGAAGAAACACACCAGTCCAAAAGCTGTGTGGCCAGATTTATGACATACAAATAGAAATAAGGTAAGTGCAAAAGCAATGTTAAAATATAATGCTTTAAATTAATATTTAAATAAAACTTTTAAAGTAAAACGTTAGGCAGAGAATTGTAATAAAATTCAAGCCTTGTGGTCCTCATACATTTAAGTCTGAATCTTTATTTGGAACCATGATGAATATTTTGAAGTTTAAAAAAAATAAGTTTATAGCTAAGGATGTATATTAAGATTGTCACTATTGCTAATATTTAGCTTTTTTTTTTTTAATTAAGATGAACTGTTTAGATTTGCACCCTCATCTTTTGAGGATTACTGATCTGAAATTTTTAATGCTGGAATACCTTTGAGGATTTAAAGCACCATCCATTCAATTTGTATTAGTAATAACCAGCTAAATTGACATAACAGGTTGGCCACTGAAATGAAACAACAAGCAACCAATCTATTAATTTATAATACACAAAACTGTGATTCTTTCAAAATTCTGTTCTAAGAAATTCAGAGCCAAGGTCAGAGGGAAATTTTGTGTGAGGATTGTTAAAGAGCATCAAGTGTAAGCTTCAACTTGCTTCACCACTTGATAATATACGAATTAGATGTTCTGGAAAATAAAACAGCACTATTTCAAATAAAGTTAATGAGAGGATTAAGTTTACTGGTCTTCGTTCCAGGTCAGGAGAGCATCAATTACTTAAGTGGGTCTTTAGAATCTTAGTAGTAACTTTTAACTTATATTATTAGTAACTGTCAATTTTATTTTAGGAAATAATATATGATGCAATTTACAAAATCATATTTAAATAAAACTAAGAAATTATTTAAGCAAGAATATTGGCAGGGTTTAACACAAGTAAATTATCTAATGGAGATTTTTTATGCAAATGAAAACTATACTTGGAAAATATAAAACCAGGATCCTAAAGTCAACTCTTATTTCTGAATGGCTGCATTTGGCAAGACAGTTTTATACATGGTTAACTGTTTTTAAGTAAAATATATATGAAAGCCAGAATTTTATACTCAGGTTAAGACCGGCCTTTGTTTTTCAGTTAACTAAGAAGAATCTTTATGTGGTTTTTGCTAAGGATTGTTTAGTATTTAAATGAAAGTTTAGCAGAGTTCCTGATAACTTCAGAATAATACTTAAATCTTATATAGCACATCACACATTCATAGTAGGCCTGTGCAAAGCAGCTAGTATTCACTTCGGATTTGGCCAATTTTGGGGACAGTGATTCGATCCGGTGATTCAAATCACCATCCCGAATTGATTTGGGCAAATCTAATTCAGAGATTCGGCTGCTGCCGAATCAGCCGAATCACATAGGCCCCATCCCCACCTGCCCCAGCTCCCGGCTCTCTAAAAAAGCCTGCACTCACCAGCTGCTTCCAGGCAGGGGGGTGATCCCTGTTGTCCCCTGCTGTGTGGGGACTCTGCCATGAGCCCCCTGCCCTCCCCGCTCTCCCAGACCTGGCTATGGCTGTCCTGCCCACCCCAGCTCCAGCCTTTAAAAAAACCCTCAAACAAACAGAAAAAAGCCATGACTCACTGGCTCCTGCCTGTCAGGGGAGCAATCCCCGCTGCCCCACACCATGTGGGGGGCTCTTCCACAAGCCCCCAGAAGCCCTGAGGCCACTGCAGGAGCCAGCAAGTTGGGGGGAGGGTTCTTAAAGGGCCAGAAGCTGGGGTGGATGGGGCAGCAATGGGAGGGTTGGGGGAGCGGGCAGGGGATGGGGCCTGGCAGGGGCTCCCCCATGGTCACCTCCCCCCGACCCCCTACTTACCAGCTTGGAGTCCGGGTCCAGCTCCCTGCTGCAGTGGGCAGGGACTGCCCAACTCACTGAAAGATTCAGAGAACTTCGAATTGATTCAGACCTTTTAATTGGTCCCCTGATTCGATTTAGATTTGGAGATTCGGCCACTGAATCAGACCGAATCTCCTCCGAATTGAAATCGGCACCTGAAGCTTTGCACAGCCCTAATTCATAGTATAATGCAAATGTTCCCAAATTATCCTTATTAAAATTTGAAAATCATTTTACAATAAAGACAAATAATTACATTAGCATTCAAAGCCCCATTATGACCCACCATGATTCTTGAATAAATAGTAAATACAGTAAAAGTTCTGTTATCTGGCATCTCACAAGCTGGCATGCTCTGCTAACTGGCATGCCGGCTTGTAAGATAAAGTGAAACTGGAAGTGCCCACCATGGCACTTCTGGTTTCTCTGAGCCACCATGGCTCGGGGCAAAGCAGCCTGCATTGCCGAGCCCCCACAGCTTGGGGTCATAACAGGCTGTGCGGGGCTATACAGGACCCACCTCCATGTACTGCGGGGCCCAGTACTGCCATGGCAGGAGGGGCAGCAATGCCACGGGAGGGGTGGAGGGACGCCCCAGAAGCAGCGTGAGAAGCAGCAGCCAGGGCCGCTCAATTAACTGGCATATTTTGTTATCCAGCATCTCCCATTCCTGGGGGATGCCGAATAACAGAGCTTTTACTGTAACTGAAAAGGAGGTGTACAAATGTATGCGCCTTTACACACTACTCAGCTACCCTTCTGAAACTCTTTAGTGATGAGAGGACATTACTCTTTATTGTTATGACAAGTTAATTGAATATTTGTGCAACATTTTATTCACATTTTAGGATTCATCTGATTGCATATAAAAGGAAAAAAAGGAAGTTAACCTCTGTTTTCATATCTTGAAAGATTCCAACATTAGATCAACCAAATGGATGAAGAAAATTTAAGGAAACGAACAGGAGAAGCTAATGGAGGAGATGAACTATCACTTCAGAAGAGTAAACCCAAAACTACAAATCTACAGCAAGAGGCAAGAAAAATTTTACACTAAATACCTTAATAGTATTGCACTTCTGCTATGTTTAACATTGCTATAGAACAGTGGCACTCAACCTCTTGCCCCCAGAGCTGCTTCATGCAGCCTGTAGGGCTCCCCACAGGACTAGAAATTTGGTAGCAAGGGAGCACTAGCTCCCAGAACCATGGCAATTAACAGATTTCCAGATCTGAGATCATAGGCGCCAACTTTTATTTTTGCTGGGGGGGGCGCCTAAGTTGATGCCCTCAGCATCCAGGCAGCACAGCTGGAGCACAGCTGAGAAGAGCCCATAGGGGAGCAAGGGTAGATGCAGGCAGCCTGCTGCAGGCTTGGGGCTCCCTGCCCTCCCCGCAGGAGCTCCATACCGGCCATGCCATCATGGCAAAGCACCCCCTGCCTGCCTGGCAGCAGTGGGGGGCAATATTCTGCATCCCCAACCCTGCTGCTGCCAGGTGGGCAGGGGGTATCTCGCCATGGCAGCACGGTGCTCTGGGGGGAGAACAGGAGGGCAGGGAGCTCCAAGGGCAGAACAGACAGTTGTATCTACCCCTGCCATGTACATAAATCTAGAAGGCACATGACCCCTTATGCCCCCCCTTCCAGGGAGTGTGTGTAGTAGCAGGAAGCCACCCTTCCCCCTGGGCCCTCAAGGAGCCACCTGTGGCTGTATCTAATTCCCCACCTCAGGACACATACACTACCCTGGCTGGGCAGCACCCCCAGGTCCAGTCCCTTCTCCACTCCCTCCCTCGCTGTGGGGTCCTCAATTTGCCCCTCTCTGTAAGCTTGCCTGCAGGCAGCTGGGGGAGCTGCTTTCTACCACTACCTGGAGATGTACTCCTGGCCACATGCATGTGTGTGCATGCACACATACACGTGGCACCCCCTACATCCCGCTCCCCGCAGGCTGTTGCAGGCTGTAACTCTGCCAGCCTGAAGGAAACCGACCATTTTGTGCAGTTTTCCATGGCGAACAGAAAACCCAGATCCCTGCACAATACTGGGAATCTGGGACAAATGCTGTCCTGAAGTCATGTAACCTGGGACCAGGACCTGATGTTCCCATTTCAGGATTGTCTTGCCCAACTAGCGATGGGTGGTCATCCTACCCTCTTCTCAAGCAGGGCCACGGCCCTTGGGCCCCCATGTACTCAGTGCCTATGGTTTGGATGACAAGCCCCTGCATGCTAGATCATGCCAGTGCATGCAGATAGGTTGCAGCCAGATCACACCTGCAAACTGAGCCTATGCTAAGTAAGGACTAAGGACAAACCACGCATGCAGGATCTATGGAGCTGGAAAGTATTTCATGGAGAGATTGTGTCAGATTTCTATGTCAGACAGTGCTAATCAAGTAACAACTTAAAATTTATTGAGTTGTACACAACTAGGAATGCTGGATAAAATTTCAACAGCATTTGAGTCCCATGGGCTAAGTATAGACAATTGAAAAGCCAGAGGCTGAATCGATTCAATCTTGCAGGTTAGTCTAAACTGCGTAGAGTGAACCAGGAAGCAGGTAAACAGAAATTCACATCCAATTCCAGAAATACAGCCACACGCCTGCAGTGGCTCAGACCAGTTGTGGGGCACAAGAGCATGCCTCCCAGCCACTGCCAAAAGGAAGGGATGAGAGAAGCCCTCCAAGACTCGAGCAGAGGACATGTGACCAGGCCCAGCATGCTGAGGCCAGGGGAAGGGGGTGGGGGGCTTTAAACCCCCTCCCTGGCTTGCATGAGACCCCAGACCAGGTCCGTCTGGAGGGGGAGGGAAGGGGAAAGACTGCCCCTGCCAGGCTTATCTCCCAAACCCTCCCGGTCCAGGCCACCATGCTAACAGGTGTATGGTAGGTTTAAACCCCATTCCTGGCCCACGGGGGACCCTAGTCAGGATCTGCCTGGTAGGGAGGGGTGGGGCAGTCCCTGCCAGGGTTTTGCCCCTCCCCCCCACTTGAGCAGAGGGGGGCATGGCCATACCCCAGCCCAGGGCTCGCACAGAGGTGGGGACGGAGGTGGTTTAAGCTCCTCTTCCCACTCTTCTGCCTCAGCGTACCAGCCTAGCTTGCATCTGCCCATGCCCCCAAACCCTCCACTGGAGGAGGGAATAGGGGAAAAGCCAGTTAGGGGATGCTTCGCGCCTGCCAGGCAGACCCTGTCTGGGATCCCTTGGAGGTGGGGAGGGGGTTTAACACCTCCCCAGTGTGCTGGTCTGGCCATGCTCGCCACTCCCCGCCCCTCTGCTCGAACGGTGAGCAGGGGAAATGCCAGGTAGAGTCTGCTTCACCATTGCCAAGCAGACCCTGGCTGGGTTCCCTTGTGGGGAAAGGGGAGAGGAGTTTAAATTCCCTCCCCTGCCTCCACCTCAGTGCGCCAGCCTAGCCAGCATCTGTCCATACCCCCTTCCTCTCTGCTTAAGCAGGAAGCAGGGGAAAAGCCAGGTAGGGTTTACTTCATCCCTACCAGGCAGACCCCAGCTGGGGTCCTTTGCAGATGGGGGAAGGGGTTTAAACCCCTCTCCTTCCCCTCCACCTCAGCCTGTTGGCCTGGTCGGTGCCTGGCTATGCCCCCCACCCCTCCACTCAAGCATGGAGCAGAAGAGAAGACTGAGCGGCTGCTCCGTCCCCACCGGGCAGACCCTGGCTAGGGTTTAGAGCCAGGTTTCCCACTCCTCCCCTTCTCAGTCAGCCAGAGCAGTGATAGTGTTTGGCTAGGGAGTAGAGGGGTAGGGCCAACTCTATTCCACTGGAACAGTCAGCACTTCCCAGGGCTGCAAAGCATCCTGGGATGCTGGGGGACTGTGATTTAACTTGAACTGTGAAGGGGTCTGGGACAGAAGTTCCATAAACTGGTTTGACCTAAATCAGTTAAGTTTGATACTACATCTAGTCAGGTTATCTTAAACTGGTTTCAGCCATTTTGAAAGTAGTTTAAAGTTCACTGAACTTCTGTTCTATTACAGGTTCAACCCGGTTTCTGATCATTTAAACTGAGTTATGTATCATTTCTATCCCTAACCTTAACGAGCCCAAGACCCACTGAAAATCACACTCCTCTCACTGGGGCTTAGATGCTTAATTTAAATTGTATTTGTTACCGTATTAACTAGATAATAGTATCCAGTTGTCCTACACTAAAAAACAACAAAAAATTCAAACTGTTGCTACTAGCACATCTCTAATCTTTGCAGTTCATTATAAAGCTCATATTTTCAGTGCAGCTTTATCTCTATTCATAATTTCTTAGACATAGGACTCTTTCCAGTGCTTTTTAGACTCAAGGCACCACTGATTAGACTCTAAGAGCTGGCATTTTCTGAGGGGGATATCTTGGTTTTCACTGTTTCTTAACTATGGAAAAAAAATAGAGTACTTTTTGTGTTGCAAAAAACTCAGAAAGACGACAACTGGTCAGAATATTTTTGACATGACAGACTCCTATCTGAAAACTGTGGTTTTATCTTATGAATCCTGTGCAATTGTTTACACACTTAACAGTGATAATATTGTGTGTATGGCACTGCACATCACCCTTAAAAAGATCTTGGACCTTTGTACATGCCACAAAATTGGCCTTTAAAGTGGCTTAAATGCCCTTTTGCAGCACTTTAATGGTGTTGCTGTTCACACGCTCGACAGCATATTCCACTTTAATGGCGTTGCTGTTTGCATGCTTGGCAGCATATTCCACTTTACATTACTTTGGTATGTAACAAGATAAAGCATCTCCAAGGTGTTTTAATTTGCTACCTAATGAAGTGCAACAGTGCACAGGACATTGGAAGCTGATGTGCTTGGGGCTTGGTGGACCCAGCGGCAGCCTGCGCAGGGAAGCTCCATTGAAGGAAAAAAACAAAAAAGCCGTGAGCCTGACCTTTTTTTTCTCCTCCCTGGAGCCTGCTTGCCTGAGCTGTGCAGGGGCATGGTGCTTCCCTCCACAGCTGCGGCACCCCCGGGTCAGGTACCAGTGGGTGTATGCCATCTGGGGGGCCCCCCACGCAGCTCAGGAACCACTCGGCCTGCTTACAACTCGCCACCCCCTGCTGCCGAAGAGGCAGGTAAAGATCAGGCCCCCACCCTTGTGTACGTGCCACAGGGGTTTAGCTTGGTTTAATTCTCCCTAAATTGAAGCGGTGTTTTTAAAAACCCACTGTTTCAATTTAGGGAGAACTAAACCAAACTAACACCCCCCTCCCCCTCCCATGGCATGTACAAGCATCCCATGTGGCACCCCGATTAAGAATCACTGCTCTTGAGCTCTGAGAGGAAAATATAAATACCTGCTCCTGCTTAAATAACCTCTGAAGTGGTCTTTTTAAGCCCCATAAAATCTATCAGGAGTAGAGGGAGATGTTTGCAATTTAGGTCTAGTTGTTTGAGGAGAAATATATATAGGAGAAACTAATAATATGGAGCCAACGCAAGTTCTAGTGTCTCGGACGGCCGAAGCTGACTCGAGATGATTCAAGTATTACTCGGTCGTTTGGGCGGGCTGGTGAATGGAGAGGCAGACACAGCTTATTGGTTGCAAAAACTTTACTTACGCCACTTGTAGCCGCGACGCAGGTGGTCCAGTCGCTTGAACAACTATGTGAGTTGCTCCAGCTGGCAAGGTTCAGGCCAGCTAATCTGTCCACAAATTAAGCCGGCGGGGAAAGGGTACGTCGAGGGTTGCGCTCGGCAACGGGGAGAAGAATCGATAGGTGATCAGTCTATCGATCAGCTCAGCAGCAAGTCAGATCTCTTTAGAGGCACTCTGCAGCGTGCTCAAAGTTCTCCGACTTGGGCAGAAGTCGCATGAAATTTTAAATGGCTAGCAAGCCAATTACTACCCACCACGTAGGAATAATTTAGAACTGGCCAATAGCGGGAACTCTCTTGCACTGAGGTTTTTCTGTTGCAACAAAAACCTTTGCTGTGCAAGAGGCTCTCATGTGGCGGGAAAATTCCATCGTGCCGAGGCACCAAAATCACTGGGTTGTGACACTAGAAGCCTACAATTTTGGTTAATCAAGATTACATTCAATCAATCTATACTTGCCCCTCAGACCTTTGCATTTCTTGTAGTAAAAAAGATCACGTCATACCAGAAGGAAGATTCACAACTAGTAAGTATGTACACTTAACATGAAAGGGAAGAAAAAGCACCCACAAGAACAAGTAAACCAGGCAAGTCACCCAAGAGATGAAGCTTCTGAAACTCAGAAAACCTTCAACAATCCACAAGGAAAGAGTAACTTAGTCTTGAACAGGAACATGACACAGCATCTCCTCTTTGCTTTTGAAGACAGCATCACCTTCTTCTGACCCTCTGAGGAAAGAAAACTTAACCTGGAGCTTAAAGAAACCTTTCAAATGGTTCAGAGACAAAAACTCTACAATAATCATGTATTAATTTAAAATCCAATGTTATTCTGGATCTAAGTATTATCAGCTGCACTTCAGGTAACGGGCTGAGGTGGCATGGATGCTAAGGCACACAGGTTAACGTAAGCCCAGAGGTTACAAGTTTGAGGGCAGAAGCACTCAGAGCATGGCCCTGTCAGATTTCAACAAAATCTGTGAATTCTGCTGAATATACCTTGTCACAAGGGCATAAAAAGGAAGGACCTTAGGTAGTTGATTAGTTACAATTAAAGAAAAAGCAACAAATGGTAGCCCTTCAGTTATTCCTTACTGCATTCATTTTGAGCTAAAGGTCAAAAAGACATTTACAGAAATCTGATTTCCACCACAGAATACCAAGACAGGTGGAAGACCACAAAATAACACTTTTTTTCCTTTCAGTCTCTTATTTTAAGGCTTTTTACGTCAGTGTGTGAATAACTTCAGTTCCTGCTGTCTACTCACTAGGGTAGTCCATACTTTGCAGCTTCAGGCCTTTTAACTTTTAATAAGATTGGTACCAACAAACCTGCATTTGGTTTGGCATGGGAGAAAGATGTTTCTCCTTAAAACAGCTGGAAAAGCTAAGAAATAGTTTTTCAAAATACGAATGCAGTGCTTCAGAGACTAGGAATCTTCATTTTAACCTTACTATGAAGTTAAGCATTTCCACATCTGGAAAGCTGCACCATATCACAAAGAACATGGCATTCTACTTGCACACTTTTTGCAATGCAAAAGACTTCAGTGTGTATTTGGAAACTGCTAATACAATGCCTAAACATGCTTATAGTTGATACGTAGTAAGTTTTACATGGTAAATAAGCGTGGATTTGCTCTTTCAGAGCTAAAAATATGTACTTGTTCTGTTCTTCTGTTACCAGAAGACATAATTGCAGTTAGTAAGGGCAAAGGTGAATGTGAGGCATGCCCATAAACTGCAAATTATGCAGTTAATAGATCCAACTTCTGACATTTGCAACCAATATGCAAAGCATATTGTAATGATTGCCCTGCAGTTAATTATAGATGATGAGTTGTTAGAATTAATCTTGAAATACTGAATACTTGAAAAAAAGCAAACAGCACCAGTGATGTATCTGGGTTAATGTTCGGATCATGTCACAGGGTCTCACTCATAGCTTTTTCCTGCAGACAACAGTACCAAAACAGCAAGCACTAATGTGATCATCTTCCCACTCGCACCCATTCACTTTGCCTTATGCCAACAGGAGGCAAAAAGTCTTTTGATTCTGAACATCAGGTAACAGGCATGCGAGAAGAGTATATTAGAACTGCATGCTCCTTAACTATCCACCAAACCTTGTTTACTCAACCAAAATCCAACCTCATAAAAATCTTCCATTTAATACCATCTTCAAGATACAAACACCCAATTATGACAGGATATATTCTTCAACCTACAAATAATCCTTTACAGAACATGCCGTTTATATTCTGAGGGGTAGAACAGATATTAATTTTGCTCAACATAGTGATACTAAAGCTCTGAGGACTGTCCTACAATAGTTGTATGCTTCCACTAAATGCAATAGGTATGTGAAACAGCCACAAGATGGACATTCAGTTATAACTGGCTTCAGAACTGAGATGAGTGCAGACAGTTCACACCTTCCAAAACTCCATCCAAAATAACAAGATTGCACGAATTGCACTTGGAAGGTTTTACTTACAGTCATACAGACTGCCTTTTTATAAAGAAAAAAATCTTGTATTTTATACTATCTAGAAAAGTTCATTGGAAAGAAGTTGGTTTTGTGCTCCGTGCAAGTGCTGACCCGGTCTAGCAAAACGTTGAAACACCATGTTTGTATCTGGAAACCCCTATGTGCTTACTCAGAAGAGTTTAGCACTGAAAGGAGGAAACAGCATTAAGAACAAAAGCCTAACATCAAAAGCCTACTTGTTTCCTTGTCATTAAAAAGTGGTAACACAGGAAAAAAGCAAGTGATTAGAGGATACCTAGGTATTTCAAATATGTACCCAAATTTACAGGAAAACTGCAAAGTCTGGTAAATTGTCAGAGAACTGTAAAAACATTTTTGGATAGGGGGCTATACTGACATCTCTTCTAATGAGAATCTAACATCTCTCTCTCTCTTCTAATCAAAACCTTAAATAACTTGTAGGAATTTTAACTCTGGAGGTTTCTAAATTAATATTAAACTAATATTTAATTATGCTCACCACCTGAGCATGGCATTTTCTCCTTCATCAGGGCCTATTTTACTTGTAAGCAACACTAGCAACTCTATGCATGTGATTTGTGTTTTGCATCAAAAACCAGGCATAACATATATTTAGTTTAAAATAAAATGTGTATCAAAGTACAGAAGCAATTTGAGCATTTTGAAACATAAACCTGATGCATAAACTCCAAACTATCTTTACATTAGCTTACACTAGCTAACCTGTTGGCACTGGGATTTGCCAACAAGTTGTGTGGTCTATCATTTATTGCCTTTCATAATTTCATTTCATTTTAGTGTTTAGAGTTAGTTGCTCCTGAGCATGTTCATGCAAGATTAAATAAATTGTGTTTCTAGAAAATTCAGCCATTATTTTATGTAAATAGGTTTTAAAAACAAAAAAATATATAACATTGAGTTGTAGGAATATCAATAAAGTAGTCCGTAGAAGCTGCAATGTAGAATGACCAAACTATTGCCAAAAGGAACTTCTCTCCCTTGGTCTCATTTTCCTGTATAAGATATTGTGATAAATTGAGTTAATATTAAAAAAGTTACCTTATTGGAATGTCTCCTTTCATTTCAAGGTGGGTCTGATCAGTGGAATCTGTATGATCGTTGGTACAATTATTGGCTCAGGAATCTTCATTTCTCCTAAATCAGTACTTGCCAATGTTGCAGCTGTGGGGCCTTGTTTAATCATCTGGGCAGCATGTGGAATTCTTGCTACTTTAGGTAAGGAAAAAAAGGAATAAGATCCCTGTATTTCCAGTTTCTTGATTATTTTCATTGCACAGATCAGATTATACAACTCAGCTCAAAATAAATTGCATGCCAACCACAGTAGTAAGTGCTTGGGCAAAAGCTTATAACCCAGGAAGCAGCCTGAAGAAAGCTAAATACTAAGAACGGTTTAAGGCATCAATTAAGGTATCACAGTTGTCTTAAAAAAAGTCTCTAATTTTGTGCAAACCATCCAGTGAGTGTACAAACAACACTGGAAAATACTAGGGGTGCGTGAAATGGGCTGTGTTCAATTCGGATTCAGTGCAGATCAGGGGTCAATGATTCGATTAGTTGATTCAGATCACTGTCGATTTGATTCGCCCGAATCTGAAGATTCAACGCCAATTTGGAAATCAATCAATCAATCAGCAATTCAGCCATAGACAGAGCTTTAAATGTTTTTTCTACATAACTTGAGGTACCAGGCATGGCTCATCAACACTGAGATAGTTGGATGGATGGAAGCATGCAGGGGCGGGCCTCCTCTGCATGCTTCGCAGCAGACTGGAAGTGGACTGGAAGTACTTCCAGTCCACTTCTGGTTCCGCCACTGAGCACATGGAGGGCCCCCCATGCCCCCTTGGCTTGGTGACCACCCACGGGGAGTCCCTGGGTACCCCCTCAGACCCAAAAAGCACCAGTCACCGAGCCGGGGGGGGGGGAGGGGGGTTGGAGGGGTTCCCCACACACTCAGTGACAGACCTGGAATTGGACCGGAAGTGCTTCTGGTCCACTTCCGCATCTGCCACTGAGCGCACTGGGTACCCCCCTGCACTTCCGTGGGACACCCCATCTGCCCCAGCATCTCAGCATTCACAAGCCACCTGGTACCTTGAGGTATGTAGAAAAAACAATTAAAGCTGTGTTTATGTCCAAATCATCGAATCTCTCCAAATCGACTTGGAGGGTTCCAATTCGATTCAGAGAGATTAAAAGATCTCCTCATTCGATTCAGATATTTGGCTGCCGAATCTCCACTGAATCGAATCAACGACTAAAGCTTCGCATGGCCCTAAAAAATACCTGTCCCTGTTGAAATTAGTGGCAAAATAATTTATGAAATTCAGTGGCATTAAGAGGCTCAACTAATTACACATTGTTCTTGTACAAAGTAATGCCAGATGCAAAATCAGAAGGCAGATTTTTGAAGTCTTATATTTAAACTAAAGCAGGGTAGGAATTATATATAGTCTCCTAGGTTGGCTTCTTAGTAGAAATGATGTAACTGAATATCATACCAGCAACCAACCAATAAGTTTATAAATTCCAATGACATCTGAAAGCAAGACCTTACCATGCACTTTACTCTGATTAGTCCAATTAATGCTAATTTTTCCGTCAGTTTGCCACAGGTAGTGGTGGTGCAGGTCCCACTGGAGGTCGTGGATGCAGATAGCATAGCCAGGTTCAAAAAGGAACTAGACAAATTAATGGACAATAGATCTATTAATGGGTACTAAGCAGAATAGGCTGAGATGTTTCTGGCATCTCTAAACCAATGAATAGGAGATAAATTATTCTAGAGATATCCAGTTCAGTATAACATCCATTTCTGTCACTGTTGGAGACAGGGGAGTGGGCTAGATGGATCATTGGTTTGACCCAGCATGGCACTTCTTGTGTTTCTAGTTTCCAAATTCCTAAACAAAAAGGATACATTTTTCTTTAGGTTAGAATTCCTGATTATATTTTCTACCTTTCGGTCTTAAAAAATACAAACAAAAAACACCAAAAACTATTTTAGCCAAATATATCTATATAGTGGTGTCTAAAAAAGAAACATCAGTTGAACACAATGTTTTATTGATATACAGTATTCACAATTTTAAAGCCATTTGTGGGCATAGACGATGCATCAGAGAGGTTTGGGGGGTCAGGAGCTGCCTCCACAGCCCAGCAGGCAGGACTGGGTGTGGGAGGGAGTGCCCAAGGTGAGGTGCCTCCTGCCTGCCCAGCAACAGCTAGGAGAGGCACAACTCTGCGCCACTGAAAGCCCTGCACCAGCCACTGCACCATAGCTGCCAAGGTAAGTGTCACAGCAGCATAGAATTGTGCCCCCTTGCTGCTGCTGCTGCTGGGCGGGCAGGGGACACTCCTCACCTTGGCAGCCATGGTGGCAAGGCATTCCCAGTAGCAGCACCAGACCTCTATGCCCTGCTCTGGGGCCTGTTTGCTAGGCCGTGGAGGCAGCTCCTGTCTGGTGCCATTCCAGCCACATGCCCCGCTGTGGATGCAGAAATCTGGGGGGGCATATGCCCCGCTATGCCTCATGCCACGTCACCTATGCCCCCCCAGCATCACCTATGTCCCCCTTCCCCCTGAAACACCTATGCCCTCCCCCACCATAGACATACTTGAAGGGAGCTGCTCTCTACCACGCTGTCTGGCTGCACTAGTGGCCACGTGCACATGTGCGCATGCACATTCATGTTTGGCCCCCTGCTTCTGACTGTCCTCCCCCCACAGCGCTTTACAGACTCAAACTCTGCCAGCCTGCAAGGGGGAACCCATGGTTTCCCAGGTTTTTCTCTTTTAAAGGAGAAAATCCACATTTTTCCATGGGAAATGGAAACCCAGATGCTTGTTCATAAATTAATGATGTACCATGGTTTCTTGCATACAGTGCACCCTGGAATAAAATGCACAACATGTTTCTGAAAGGCAGAACACAGATTGTTCTTTATAGTAAGTGGCCAAGTAGTAACAGCTAGGGAACGGAGCCTGCTCATTATTTTATTCCGTGTGCATTGCTAAGGATTTTAGATTTAATTCTAAGCAGCAGAAACAGCTTTTATTGTATTTTCTCAAATATAATGCAAACTCCAAATTCCAGCAGCTGTCTTTTGGGGGAAAGGGCGTGCGTTTAAGCAAACAAAGACAGTAATAAATGAGCAAAATTTTATATTTTGACTGTTTACAGAGAAGCTCTATGATGCAAAGAGGTAACACACTTTTATCTGGTCTTTTAATCAACTATAGAAATAGTAAAGCTAATAAGACATATTTATAAACACTTTGCACAAATATTTTCAAATTAGACACCTATGCCTGTAAGATGTAGCCAGTAACTTGTTGATTTTCAGTATTTTTTTCCAGCTTATGGAACAGTTCCTCAGAAGCAAGTTAAAATTTTGGTCATTGCTTACTAGTAATGTTACATAAATTTAATAAGATACTGAACTTTCACAGGTAATTCCTTAAAACGATATTAAGTATAAAAATTGATAGGGAGTGAATGCAAACTGATCATAAGATTTAAAATCTATCAACCCAAACCACTTAACTATAAACTGCATTTCTTCTTGTTGTTCAGGTGCACTGTGTTTCGCGGAGCTTGGCACAACAATTACAAAATCAGGGGGAGAATACCCTTACCTTATGGAGGCTTTTGGTCCAATTCCAGCATATTTGTTTTCCTGGACAAGTTTACTGGTCATAAAACCCAGTTCGTTTGCTATCATTTGTCTTAGCTTTGCGGAATATGCTTCAGCTCCTTTTTATCCAGGTTGTGATCCACCTGTAGTTGTCATCAAGTGTCTTGCAGCCTCTGCCATTGGTAAGACTCCTAACCATTTTTGGAGAGGACTGAGACATGAAATTGTTTAACAATTGATGAATGACTTTTTCCCCTCCAAGGAAAGTGAAGAGAAACTTCAGCTCTGGAAATATAAAATCATAGTGTGCATAATTATTGAAAAGTGTATTACTGGAAGCAATTTTGCACTTGAAAAAGTGGGGCCTGATAGCCCAGTGGAAGGGGGTATTTTCTGGATTTCATTTCCCTGATAGTAGTAGTAAAGAGAGTAGATTTAAATGTAATAGAATATGATTAGTTTTATAAGTTCTAAAATTAAGTTGATCTCATTTAGTACTTAAATAATTTTCAGTAAAGAGCTCAGGTAAATAATACTCAGATCTGAGGGTATGACTACAATATATACAAGTTAATATGGCTAATGCTTTATATGCAAATTACAATTGTGAATTATAAATTTGGAGTATTTAAAACAGAAGACTATAAAAATCTTTTTCCCCCCCCCTAGTGGTTATTACAGCTGTGAATTCACTGAGTGTGAAGTTGGGAAGCTACGTCCAGAATTTTTTCACTGCTGCTAAAATGATCATTGTTTTAATTATTATTGTAAGTGGGATCGTTCTCCTTGCACAAGGTAATTAAGTTTTGTGGTTTTAATTTTGCAAATACTAATAGGGATTACTTTTGTTTCTGCTATGATCAGCTATTAATAATTCACTACAAGAAATTAAGCAAACCAATGAGTATATTGTCCTAATTTATTACAGTTCTAGTACAGCGATTCTCTCAGGGTGCTGCAAGATCCTTTTCAGCATGCAGTGTGGTGCCAGGCAACTGTTAGGCATACAAACACCTGCTTGTGATTCACAAGTTAAACCTAGAAATATCAAATAATCCACAGCATCAAAAACATTCATCCCTGTTGTGGTGTTTTTGAGTTCTTTGCAACAGAATTGCTCTGTTATTTTTTCATAGGCTAGAAATGATTGAAAGCTAATTGTCTGGGGGTGCCTTAAGTTTCAAAAGGTTGAGAATCTCTGTTC